TTCAGATGGAGAAATGGGGGCAGAGAGAAAAAAGGGAGTCCTGAACTCATGCAAAAGCAATATTAAATCATTAAAATATAACAACCTCCCACTCATTAAAATAAGCACTCTGAGATGGGGAGAATTGACATGTTTTTCTTCCATTTTGGCTCAACAGTTATTTCTTGTGTAAATACTTTTTAAAGCAGAGAGGAGCCATAAAAGATTTATTTTTTCTAAATTGGACCTTCATAAAAAAAAAAGATGATTGCTAACTAGTAAAGGAAGAAATGAGAAGGAAAGACCAATAAGCAGTGGCTGATGGAGAGAGTGAGCCTGAAGCCAGGAAACATGAAGTGACCAACAAGTTTTATAAAGAACACTCCACGGAGATCACACAAGGGACATGCAACACGGAATAAAATATCTCAATGCATCCATGAGAATAAGCCACCCATTTCAATGGTAAAATAGAAAACAGTTTTTACCTTACAGAAATTCACATGGAATAAATACTGAGGAAAACTATGATCCTTTAATAAAAGAAAATGCACGCAATAACAACTTAGCCAAAGGCAAGTTATTTCTTTAAAATGGACAATAAAGTGATAATAACAGGAATTAATCTCATACTATGAATAGAATCTCTTCTAATAGGAAAAAATTGAGTCTACTTAAATATATGCAATTCAGAGTTTTTATAAAATGTATTATTCTCTCATTTAAAAGTAACCTAAGTTTCTAGGGGCTGGCCCGGTGGTGCAGTGGCTAAGTGCGCAAGTTCTGCTTCGGTGGCCCAGGGTTCGCCGGCTGGGATCCCAGGTGCGGACATGGCACCACTTGGCACGCCATGCTGTGGTAGGCGTCCCACATATAAAGTAGAGGAAGATGGGCATGGATGTTAGCTCACGGCCAGGCTTCTTCCTCAGCAAAAAGAGGAGGATTGGCAGCAGTTAGCTCAGGGCTAATCTTCCTCAAAAAAAAAAAAAAAGTAACCTAAGTTTCTAATCAACTCCAAGTATCGTTAGCGAAGCTTCAATAACAACTGTGCGTGTACATGTATACATGCTTCTCCCAGGAATGTTTGAGTTTCGGATGATGTTTTCATGTTTCAAGAAAAAGAGTGAGACTTGCATCTAAACTGAAGAACAGGAAACAATGATGACGCTTTCACACAATTCTAACATATAAAATTGTTGAGACAAGAGGCGAAGGAGACGAGATAGACTCCCAAAGACTTACATAACGTCCCGTCATATATTAATGGCTTACAACAAATTAGAACCAAGTATCAGAGCTGCCAGTATTTCTGTCCCACAATTAGACTAGGTGATATCTGGTATGTATAAAAATGTAGAGGAAAGATTCTACTTATCAATAAGATCAAGATACTGTTAAAAGAAAGATGGCTAACCACAAATCCCCAATGTCTGATAAAAGGGTCGAGAAGCCAGAACAATTTCGGGGCTCAGTAACCTGAAGGAGGCCTGAGGGAAACCCACCGGCCCAAATAAAACCCTGACACACGCTGAGCCTGCCCCAGGGGCCTGAATACACCCCAGCTCTGTCGACAATAACCCACTATCTGAGACTTACACCCTTCAGAGATGCCTCCAAAATTTGCTTCACTGAAAAAACACTAAGGTTTTGCTCTGGATATTCATTAATAACTTGGAAAAAACAGATATGCTTCCTTTGATTCCGAAACTGTTTAACTCTTAGACTCTGATGTACACGTCCGATTTAAAATCCCTTCTTGGTGAAAGTGGTTTGGAAGCACACCAGCCTTCCTGAGATGCTGCCAGAGCAGAGATCTCCTGATGATGCTCCTGACACCACAAAAGCAATGAATCAGATCACAGTCTGAGTGAAGCGTGTCCCCTCCTCCTATTTACACAGTCATTCAAAGCCCAGCTGATTTCCAAGAACTGAACTACGAATGCCATCTCCTTCTATTGTAATATGCACCTGGCTTTCACATAAGATACACTTATTATGACTGTTTCAATTGTGATAATTGTGGACAAGCTCGTTTTCCAGATTACTATTAGCGAATTCACAGTCATAAAGATACTTTGGCTTACTATATTACAAAGAGAATTACTTATTTAAGATAAAGACTACTTTAGAATGAACTTGCAAATTAATTGGAGTTTGTTTGCTTGAAATATAAATTTAATGTGGCTATATTTAGTTGTTTACATTTAAGTGTACAAAATTTCAGTGATACACTACCTTAAAATAAGTTCATACAAATTTAGGGACAAAAAAGTATGTTCTCACACAAGCCATCACTTCAGTTATTCATGGAGTCAAAAAATATATATTTGAAATTATTTAGTTTTCTGTTGCTGACGACAGTCAGGCTGACAAAATTTATTGGTTGACCAAACTATAGTGCAAGTATATGAATTTATTTGTGATAAATTATCATTTTTGCATATATCAGTCAAAGCACAAAGCCTAAATACTTGCAAACAAAATGCATTATTAATTTAATTGTCACAGTCTATTTAGCTAACTTCTATTACTATTCGCTATAATACACAATGCATAAGAGGGGAGAATCAAATTCAAAACATAAAAAAATAAACTGATTATATTGTCCTGGAGAAATTAAAATATAGCAAGCTTGCAAAATTACAGCCAAGGCATTAATGTTCTAAATAGGCATGAAAAAAATGTTTAACTTAATTTAGAGAACAGTTATGCCAAAACTGACGGTTCAACATGCTGATAGTTTTTTTGTTTCCTAAAACCATTAAAAGGTATCAGTTCTCTCTCCAAGGAGTGGAGGAAGGTGGAATGGAAGAAAGAAGCCCTTGGCATTTATTCTGCTAGATTTTGCTACTTAAATCTTAAGTCTTCTCCAGCTATGGACGGTCTCTTGGAAAATTATGCTGCTGTTGATTCCTGGCATTCCAACTCAGTGTTTCTAGGCAGTTAGAGGGAATGCCCTAGAAGCAGGTATCATAAACAAGAAGCATTCTGGAACACAGAATTTTTAATAGGGAAAACAATTCAATCAAAGACGTTTAGTTTAGACAAACTCTGCAACTTGGACTACTTAGAAGTAATAACCCAGAAGATAGGCTATACTTTCTCATTTGAGATTCATTTCCTGATTTTAGGACAAAAATCTTGCCAACGTCAGAGAGAAAGTTCACAATATCTCAAAGGGGAGAAAGACAGGCAATCGTTCTCTTCTCTCTTTTTAGCCCCTCTTTATGTGTACGTATTAGGGACTGAAATGAGTGAAAGCAAGCAAGAGACTCCCTGGAACACACAGGAAAAGGTAAATGGAAAAACCAAAGAGTACATCTGAGATTTTCAAACTCCTATCATAATATATAGGAGGTATCTAGTATTTTTAGCTGCTCAGAGGATAAATATATGTATATAAGGTGATGAATTTTTCATTAACATGAAACAATATGAACAAACACATTGAAATTTTTAAAATTCCTAAATAAAAAGCAGGATAATATATTTGAGTTCAAAATATATACCAGTTATATAGTAGGGAAATATTTTCTTTTTACTAATTATCTGATCTAGATTATTTTCATTCAAATTTATTTCGTGAATAAAACACCCTAACTACCTAGAAGTAAAGATTCTCAATGTGAGATAACATAATAGTACAAAGAGGAGCACTGGAACTAGAGTCAGAAAATAACAATTCTAATATTTCTTATGAGATATTGAATAAATTATTGTATATTCCTCAATCTGTAAAATTGGAATAACAATGCACTGCTAATAAGGTCATAGAATGGTTGAGATAATGCGTGTGAAAGTAATGAGAAGAAAGTAATTAAAAATGTTTTGTTTCCACTTTCTTAAACACTTATGAAACATAACTTTGAAAAGGCCGAAATCATAAATTTAAATAATATAGAATTTTTTGATTCCAAGAATAATGCATTCAGGATATGTTCAACACATACATTTGGCTCAAACTGAATATAACGCTACAAAGAAAAGTATAAGAAACCAAAAGTTAAAAAGTAGGCATATGTAACATCCCAATATTTCGATACAGTAGTCATGTCCAAACTAAAACACCAAAGCAAACAATAGGCCTCCAATAGAAAAGCCAAGGTAAATTCCTTGTAAACAGAAAATATTGGTAAGAGCATTTTATATTTTTTTAAAAGGAAATTAAACATTTACAAATATGGCAGAAGAGGCCCTAGGCTATAGAGCTGTAGAACAAATTGCATTACTGTTGACATTTTAAAACAGTATTAAAAAACAAAAGTTCCCAGGAGGATCTGTAGAATTTCAGATACCACCTGGGAGGATCTGGGGAAAGTTGAAAATCTACTGTCTCTGAAGGAGGGTGAGAGTGCCTGCACTAGTTCTGAGCGAGCTGCACATTTTAAAGATTTAAAAGATTTCAGAAGTAGCCATGCTCACCTGGTAGCTGACACTGCTATACTTCAGTTCACCTAATATAATTAAGTCTATGTGATGAAGCTAATTATGATATACTACCAAGAAAAAAGAAAACTTGGCAGTTGATGACATAATAATTGTAGTGTTATTTTTCATGAGATGGCAACTGTAGTATTATTTGGGGGATGACACAAGATGTATTTCTTGTATAATATCAGCAATATTTAATTCTACAGTAAGAATTCAAGAATGTTATTTTAAAACCTCAAAACAAAAATACAGGAAAAAATACACAAAGTTTAGCTTTATATTTATTTTAGCTCATTCTAATGTATTTGCAGAGATAAATCCCTCTAATTTAACTCTTCTACTGTTTCAAGGTTGTTTCACAAATTGAAAGTCTCTCAAATCCTTTCAAATATTTTTAGAACGAATTTTTTTAAATTAAAATACAACATTAAATTTTTGTGGGAGAATGGTATAAAATATGATATTCAAATACATAGTACTCCAAATGCAAAACATGATGAACTAATGATAAAAATTCTGGAAGTCACCTCATTAAACAAAACCTAAATGAAAATATATTTTTAAATAAAGAAAAAATGGATGAAAATTACCTTTCTTTTGGGGTGCCAACTCCATGTTTGCCCAGTAGATGAGTATTTAAGTGCTTCTTCATTACAAAAGCAACCCTAAGAAAAGAAGTAACAGTAATTTTAGAACTAAAAATTCTCTGCTAGAAATATGCAAAAAAAGTATTTAAAAATAGGCATGTATATGGGAATGTATCATGAAGATGCACATTACAATGGCACTTTTGCTAAACAAAAAGCTTGCATACAGATTAAATACACTGCAATACTTGAAAACCAGAAAAAATAACTGTATTTAAATGGTCTGGTTCCTTTCTTCCTTGAGTATACTAACATTGACGAAAACAATGATTCTACTTCTTCAGTCATTGTCTTCACTGACAGTTAGTAAGAAAGATAAAGCAATACCTCAAGATAACACGCACTGCCCCCTAGTTGATCCCACACTTCAATCATAAAATGAGTTTGAGAAAATGTCATTTTATTAAATATTTAAGGGACTATAAAAGAGAAAATGAATAGCCTTCATGAAGCTTCCTTAAAAACATGGTAATAATTTGAAGAGAGGTTTTTAAAAATGATATAAATGTTATTGTGTCTGCAGCACATACATACAAACAATGTACTTAAGTGCCAAGAAGATATCAATAACTAAAACAAACAAAAAGTACCACCTGACATGCTGTCTTATTTTATACACAAATCAGCTTACTTAATGCAATTTTGTTGACACAAATATGAAATGGACAGGAGTCAGAGCCAGTCCATGGAGCGCCATTCTTCTACTGCGTATAGTACAACATCAATTTAATTATGTCATGTGATTATTTAAAACAATTTAGATCTCATTCAGAAGCATCAGATTAAAATGGCTCTCTTGATAAGCAAAAAAAAAAAAAATTTACTGTTGTAACTTTCAGTGTAAAAGGGCTTGCAAACATTTTTGTTAATTATGTATTACAGCTGTCCTTCATAAAGTTAATTACTAATAGCTGAAAGGCAACAGAATATATTTGCATATGTACATGAAAGGCATGACATACGCAAAAATATGATTTTAATTAGCATTCTATGATATGAAGGGCTACAAATCAAATTGGCATGTTATAAGAGTCTTAACATTGAACACTGAATTCATCTGGACGTGTTTGCACAAACGGGCAACGTAAAACTGGAAGGTACTGGGGCCGTACGGAAGAGGCACGTGTCAAAAGCCAAGATCAAACCAGTTTCTAAGATGCGAACGCTTCTTTCATTTTCATGTTGCTCTATTTTGGTTATTTTCACATAATATTAGGGAACCTCAGTTTTGAGGCTAACATACTTGTATTTTTTTAAATGACTGTGACTTTATTATTCAAATAATGCATTTGTATACACTGAAAATAACATTCACTCTTTAGTATACATTAGGTAATAACTATGGACAATATATGCTTTAGAACCATAAATAACTGATCAGACCATCAATCATTAAAATGGAAAAATAATTATTACATATAAAGAATCTCAGTGTGACGATATTAAATGCTTAGCAAAAATAACAGCACAAGATATTCTATATTTGTTTCACTTGATTTGGACAAAATAAATAACATTTTTCATTTCCTTATAAAAGAATACAGTAATAACAACAGTCCAAGTCATAACTTCCCTACTGTCCTCTATTTTCCTATAATTAAAAAAACATAAAGCTAATAGCAAAGAGCAAAGGTTAAGAACCCAAAGTTGCAAAGCACAGCTTATTTATATGACCAAGTATAATTTAAGAGATCTGAGCTCAGAAACCACACTGCAGTTTTTAAAAGAAAAAAAATTTTATTAATTAAAATGCTTGTTTTAAGAATTGAAACAAAAACATTACACTGCACAGGGGAACAAACTAGAGTACACAGGAAGAGAAAGCTTCTACTTAAAATAAGATTCTTATATTATCTGCTGAATGTCTGTAATACTAAATATTTAAAGTAATAATTTTTTATTACTATGGGAAAAAACTTATAATACTAAAATACAGTTCAATTATAGTCAAATGCAAAATATTTACCCACTCAAAACCTGACTTGAAGCAAGTATAAATTATTCTTTAAATTTGACTTAACTAAAGCACAAGTAGTGTAAAAGTCTCAATATCAGTTAAAAAACAGAAGCCAAGCATGACTGACTAAAACAAACTTACCAACCTACACAGACATAATATTGCCAATTTGTCATTAGTGAACGTAGCCTGTCCTTCACAGCCATCGTCAGAGCGTTGTTTTAATATTTTTAGCATAATAATTGTTTTGGAAAATTTATAATCTAGATACCACTAGCAATAAAACAAAAATAATCCCAAAGCTGAAAAGCTATGCAACTGAAACGCAATGCTCCTAATGAACAGTCATGCCTTTATGTATTCATGCCGTTTCTACACATTTCTGATCACTTGGGATGTGGCAGCCAACGGTAGGTTCTGCAGGTGCTATGTAAAACAAGACAGTGAAAACAGTGCCTTCATGAAGCTTTCATCCTATAAACCCGTAGCTTCTCAACAGGACAGAGTAGCACCAAGCCTGCCCTACTCCTGCACGGATATGGGAAGTCACACGTCCACGCATTAGCTCATGTGCTTAGTAGGACTGACTCTATGCAAGAACAGTTCAGGCAGCTACGGTGCACAGGTGACAAAATAAATAAAGTTCCTGCCTCAGAAAATGTGAAACCTGCTGAGGGAAACAGACAACAAGAACAAAAAGTAAAATATAGAACATCTGAAATAGTGATAACTGGTAAAAGAAATAATAGAGAAGGAAAATCTGAAATCAGCAGGGGATTAAAATGCTACATTTGGGTGGCTCAGGAATGGGATCTGTGAGTAAAGAGGGTGGGGACTGGACATGTCCACAGAAGCAAGGGTGGCCACAGAGACCTGGGGTGGAAGCCCGCAGGGCTGTTCTCAGACAGAGAAATGCAGTGTAGAGCACGTGCAGAGGGAGGAAGAGGACGCAAGGAGCTGGTTAGAGAAGGCAGGGCAGGGACAGAGGGTATCCAAGGGCTAACAACCTTGTGGGCCATGATACCCTGGCCTTGGACTCTGAGGGAGAAGGCAAGTATCGCAGGCGTCTAAAGAGAGGAGAGACACATGGACTCACATTTTAATAGATTCCTCTCGCTGTTCTGTTTAGAATACAGTGAGAGAGAGGGAGAGAAGGAGAGAGGGAAAGCGGGAGAGAGGGGGAGAGAAACAGAGAGAGGGCAGGTGGGAGAGGAAGAGGGAGAGAGGGAAAGGGGAGACATCCGAGAGCAGGACCTAACAGGAGGCTCAATCTACTGGTCTTGAATTCAAAGGCAAGATCCATGCTAGAAATGTACTCTCTGAAGCTATCCATTTGGCAAGTGCCTGACAATCTGAAGGAACCTTAAAATAATAAAAAATAGAGTTTTTAAAATATGATTGATTCCCAAGTACCTATAATTGCCTGAAACAGCAAAATTGTTTTCAGCGTCAGAAGAGCAGCATAGTAATAACATTTACATCCTAGCTATAGATTTCTACTTTCTAGTACAAAAATTTCATATTTTAACTCCTAATTTTAAAATAATTTTTCCTACACTATATATCAATATAATAAAAACCTCTTCCTTCGATCCCTTAGTTTTCATCACTGCGGAATTATTTTAACTTGAGAGTCATGAAAGATTATCTGACTGATCCGTTGAAGTAAATAAAACATAATACCATGAACACAGAGAAAGAGATGTGAAAAGCAAGAGAAATCCATAGCAGGACATGTCAGTATTCCCTAACTCCTACTCTGTGTAAGTCAGGGTCTTAAATGCAGGGGCCAAAAAGTCAGATTTGCAAATGCTGTGTTACTCCTGAACACAAGGAAAGAGGAGCAGCACCACCCATATGCCTTCCTGAAGCTGTGTTATGCTTTTATTTCGGCTTCCCTTATCTCTCCTCAAAGTCAGGCTTATAGGACATAATATCCAACTACTTGAAAATTTCTGATGATCAGGTCAATGTAGGCCATATAGGTTACAGGAAAGATAAATTAAATGTACTTGTTTTTAAGAAGTTAAAATCTAAACACAATAACACAATAAGTTAAAAGAACAAAAGAGTTTCTAAGAACACGTTAACATAGACTATGATGCAAGTACATTCACTTATTCTTTCGGTCTTACTGATGGATCCACAGTAATCTACCCACTGCTCCCAACTGGTCCCCTCTACACCACTGCCACACACTTGCCAAACTGCTTGTTAGAACACAGGGTTCACTCAGTGAAAAACAGCAGACAACTTAAAAAACAAAACAAAAAAAAAAACAAGCAGCAAGATCAGCTTGCAAAGACCAGCCGAGGAACACAAGAAACAAAGCACCCTCGAATGAGACACTTGTGGCCATCTCCCTGGTTAACTCATGACACTGGGTTGACCAAAGCAGCGTTTGTCCTACTAGTAACAGTTCAAGTATAAGTAGGTGGTCACAGCACGGCTCTGCCATTTATGACTTGTGTAACTGGGAGAATATGAAGACCATTCCTCAGCTGAAACATGAGACATGCAAGACTTCATAAGAGTTTTATGAGATTAGATAAAACAACATGAATACAATGGAGCATGAGGGGCAGGTAAAGACAAGTTAATAAATTAAATAATAGTTAATATTAGGACTGCTATTTTTAAAATCAAGCCAGTGATATAGTTACATCTGAAAAAAAGATGGTTTAAAGATTTCAACTCCAAAAGCCTATATTCCTTTGGGCCAGTTCAGTTTACACCTTAACTGATATACGTAACAGCTTAAATGAAATTTCCGTAGACGTATCTAAGACTACCTAGAAAACGAACATGCAAAGATCTAACAAATCTATCACTTCAAACAACAGGACCTACTACCTAGAGGAACACCACTGTCCCGAGACATTAAAAAGTACTCACTTGGACTCATTTAAATTAGACAGCTATTTCTGTTTGCATCAATCCCCAAGAAAGGGGGGTAGGGAAGAAGAGGCACTCCAAAATTAACAGCAACAATCAAAGAATAATGAACGATCACACATATCCAAATGGCCACAAACCCAAGGTTCTGTTTTGTTTCCCCTTT